ATATAGAAAAAGGCTTCTTAAAAAAACATGAAAAAGTTCAAGAGCAGCAATAAAAATATATCTTCAGATGGACTGTTGTACGCCCCAAGCCATAATACAAGGTGTTAAGATTTGGCTGATGTATTGTAGTGATCTTTCATTTATTTTCTGATATGGTGTTAAGCACGAGTCTGCCATCAGACCAATTCCCCAGACAACAGATATGGACTGGAAATTCAATTTCTCCTCTAACACAATATTGAAACAGGCCTAGGTGTCACGCACGCACCACGTATCATGAGCACGACTGCGTGGGAAGGCACTGCCTGATCACCTCCAAATATACCCAGTTAGATAGTAGTCATCTCTAGCATGAAAATGGCTTAAAGGTTCAATGCAATGAAATGCAAGAGCGCGCTGGAAAATCTGTGCCAGATCAGAGCTGCCTTTGTCCCCGCCTGTGAAAGGAAGCTTTACCCGAACCCTGTAACAATGATTTCTGCTTCCACGCCTTTGCATTGCTGTTAATAATTTTCAAAGCTTTCTAAATAAAACCGACTTTTAGGAAGCGTGTCCTCCCCCTGTGATGTGCACTCAGCCATCACAAGGTCTGTTTATTTAGTGCCAGGACTTTGCAGGACGGCAAGTGACAGTGGCATGGCACAGGGAGTCGCAGCTCTCAGGCTGGAAGGACGTCATGGGCCACCCGGAGCAGCACAGGGCAGCGCCGGGGAGGTACCACCGGGTAGAGAAGTATTCCCTGACAGGTACAGGATCTATACTGATGAAATCCTCTCCATGCAGGCTGACGTGACGTGCTGGGAAGCAATTGGGAGGCAATCCCTATGCATTGTTTGGAAGCGGCTTCAATCTGTCTGTATTCTGGCCGCTTGCAAAATTAACATGTAAAATTCTCCCAAATGAGTATGTCGATGGTGAGCCGATGGTGGATGGCAGAGAGGAGGCGAGTGGCACAGGATGCACCAACCTCTGTGTCCCAGCACTGGGGCACCGGCCGGAGAACGGGTTCGCAATGCTGCTGGCAGCGCTGCAGACGGCTCATTCACCACACTGGGTTTTAATTTAAATGATAGCAGCTGATCTATTGTTTTGCCTGGGCAGGATTATTACATTAGTATTAAGTTCCACTCTTAACATCTCACCTCATTCTTAATAAAGTAACTCCATACCAATCAGAAAAAGAAATTATACTTACTGTCCCTGCTGTATCGAGGATTTCAAGCATACACTGTTGACAGTCTACTTCCACTTGCTGGGGAAAATAAGGAAGAGACAAATGCAGTTAAAACTAACGTTCGAGATGGGACAAGCAAGAGGAATATCAGCTTAATTTTTACTTCTGCCGCGAGACCTCTCTAAGTGAGCCAGCCACCTGCACTTCCCCAACGCTGAGAGGCACTGCTATTAGAGGATTAATTACGCCCCAAGCCAGGCATTTGGGTCAGCTCACTTACGCTGCAGGACTCTGTTGATTATAAAAGCCTAAATGAGCAGCTCATTGTAAACATCTCAACTTAAGTGAGATAAAATCCACTCTTACAGATCAAAGGACCTTAAACTTCAATTTTTCTTTACTGCTGGGATACAAGGGCGTAAGGAAGAAAAGAAAAATGAAAATATTTAGTGATCCTCACAGCTAGGCTTACCAAGTCTTCCACTCACTGAGAAATGTCTCGGATCCAACGAGGGTAATTCCAGGAAAGTCAAATGAATTTAACAGCAGAACTCGTAATACAATTTACATTTAATTATCACACGCACAAATGCTACAAATTCTTGGTTTATGTTTTGGTGCCTTTAATTATGGTAACATCTATGCTAATCTGTAAAACAATGGGTTATTTGACATCAACCAAGTGAAGAAAGCACCACTCTGTTGGCAGAATTACGTAACACGACCCCATCAGGGATCCTGACAAGGACTTTTGCTCAGTAATTACAAGCCTGCATCCAAAACAGTCGTAAAGAATTTAAGTGCCTTCAAACCAAGCAGAACGCATTAGAACTAAATGGCAAAACAGCCACTCCTAAAAGAAAACAAGAGGCAACTGCTATGCTACAGTAATGTCACCTACTGTGATGAAGGTGTATTATCCTCTTTAACAACTTCTACAGATAGCACACACCTAGCAAATATTGATATCCTTATGTTTTGAAGTGATAATTACACATCAAATGAAAGCAAACAGAGCCGAGTAACAGGGTCTGCTCCAGGCGTCCCTCAGAAGCCCCGGCAGGAGGATGGGCAGCGCACTGGTCTGCCAACCACCACAGCTCAGACCCCAGGACAAGGGAAAACCGGGGCTGGTCCAGGAAAACACACCAGAGTGATCTCTGGGCAGGTGTAGTAACCTCTAACGAAGACACAGGCAAATGGAGGAGAGCTGCAGCCTCAAACTGCCTCAACCTGAGCTATTGGAGATTTAAAGTAAAAGCTCTGGGTAACATGCAGTAACAGAAGTTTAATCCCCCTGTTAAACAGAACTAAGTTAGGGAGCAGTCCACTTAACAGCAAAATTTGTCATTCCCCGATAATTCAGTTTTATAATAGCTGATACAATTTGTTTGATTGTATTCAGGGGCTCTAAATTAGTAAAGTACTCTGTAAAGCCAAAGGAAACTATCTGCATGAAACCACTTCCAAGACTGATGCTCTGCTGTGCATCGCTTTCCTGCTGCGGTTTCGTGCAGCCATGACATTTTCTCCGAAGAGACCCCTTCTCGTTCCAATAAGCTTTTGTTGTATTGCTGAAAAGAAGCAAGCTCTGTGAGACTTGGAAGAAATAAAAATGATGTCATTTTACCTTTCTGTATGAATCTTCTATTGTTGGGTCATATTTTTCAACAAAAATTCCCTGAACGAACTGCACAGTCTGGGGAGAAGAAAAGAAGTAAAACATTAGGTGAACTGAAGGCGACCACTAACATTTACCAAGAAGCACTTTATGAAAAAGTAACGACACAAAAACTACTCAACACTGTTGTTAAAATTCCATAGTGGGGAGCAGAGAAAAAGACATCTAAATTTTCAATTCTTTAAAACAAAATTGTGTAGTTTCCCTTGTTTTAAGAATCACTTTATTCAAGCATGTTTTCAAAACTTTTTTTGAAATGTAAACTGCTTGCTTGCTTGTTTTTTGATAAAAGATGGTATCCTCAAAGATGCCTTTACTTCAAGTGTGCCTGCGACAACTTTAGAAGAATAAAAATCACCAAATATGGAAGACTTGAAATTTAATCGGAAGAACTGGCAATCGGCACACTGTGGGAAAGTACGTTGTGGAAAATCCACATTTCGATTCAAATCATATTGGGGTTAGAGTGGAGCTATCTGGATTACATGCCCAGAGCACGGACGTATTTCAGAGCAGCAAGTAAAATCTGGAGCGTCTCCAGATACTCAATTTGTATGAAACCATTAAAGAAGGCGACATCATTCATTTCAAAGAGGAAGTCTTTCTTCCCCTATATAATTACTCAAAGCAAATCTACTCTAAACATGTCCCATCAAGCTGTCACTCGGACGCGGCCCATCTCTGGCTATCCGAGCTCTGTCGTGCCGTGCGTTGGCTCCTCTCAGCCCGCAGCAAGGCAGAGTTGGCTTTTGCTTTCCACCTCGCGTCCCCACGCTCTCCCCTACAATAACGTAGTAAAGCAGCGCAGGAGCGCGGGGAGGGTTGGCTGGTGTTGGTGTAACAAGGTGGTGTTTGTAAAACCAAGCACCGAGATCCCAGCGCTTGCCTCTTTAAAATCAACAAACACACCAACTATCTTTTGTCAACTGAACTCGCCACAAATTTTTTAATACAAATTCCGCAAAGTCACTACCTCTTCTGAGAAGCTGTATTTCGCTTGGACAGACAGCTGAGATTTTTCTGCAAGAGGGTTCACATTTGTCACACAGGCACTTGCAGACTTTCAGAGAGCGGCATATGCCAGATACAGGCAGAACATCGCGCTGTATGCTGGAACCTGATGGTTTGCTCTTTCTTTTAATATAAGAAGAAAAGATTTCTAGCGCTACCTCATTTAAAAATCATCCTGTATCACTAAGTAAACCTATTTTGCACTCTCACAATCAAAGCCTTTGCTTCTCCAGTATTTTCTTGTCACACTGAATGGTTGTCCCAGTCTGCCTTTCAGATAACACATCTCGGTAAATTCATTATAATAAGATACCACTATCAACATGGATTACAGTGTTATACCAGCAATGGAAACCAACAATAAAAACTCTGGATTACAGATTACATTTTAGGATTCTTAGCACAGCTTCTAACCAAAGAGAGTCCCCAGAAGGTTGCTGTTTGCTAGGAGGGTAACATTTGAGCACGGACGTTTGTCACATCTGTACTGCTCTATTCTGGGAACTGTGTTTGTGCACCAGCCTTCAGCGCGACAATCCGACAAACCACTCACAACGTTTCATCTTTCTACTACAACACTTTTATACCTGCAAATACCATACTGCTCTGAAAGAAAATTAACTGAACCCATGTATTCTCCTCTCAAATTGTTTTATTGCTAATAAATCACTGTTCTAATTTTTGTTTTTCCAACTGAAGCTTGTGTTCAGACACCATTTACACAGAATCATAATTACAATTATATTCAGCTTCATTCATAACCTATTTAACTATGTGATATTCTTAATCTCTGATGTACTTTACTCTTATTGATTATAGGAGGAGAGAGAGGCCAAGGGAGAAGACAGAAATCTGGGGCTGTTTTCAGGTTATGCGTGGATCCAAGACTTCACAACTTTCTGTTAGTTTGGGGTCTGTGTGTCCCAACTTTGGTTTCCGGTTTTATACAGACTATGCACAACTGGATACTCTCAGTAATGCCGTCTAACCACTCACACTCCACAAGGTTTGTACTCCTATCAGAAATGGGGAGAAAACTACTGCAAAGGAAACACTTATAAAGAAGCTGCAGAATAACTGTGCCTTAATAACTATGAAGAGTTTTCTGCTCTCCTGTCATCGTTACCAAATGCACCATCAGCATCGTATTGGCACAGAAGAGTTAAAGCAATAAGAAGGATTTGCAGTGAAACAACACCATATTGTAATGAAAACACAGGATTGAAAAGGAACACCAGCCTCTTTGTTAGACATTTTAGTTTATACAGTTCAAAGAAAGAAATTTTAAAGTGACATCCATATTATTTTAAATCCCACCTTGTAACCTCTCCTTGCTAATCCTTGTAAATAAGTAGACGGTCATCATGAAAGCTAAATATTGTTCACTCAGCTGCTAATTGGCACTTATTGTGTCCTGTTATAAACATAATGGATCAATGTAGCATATAAATTAGAATATATGCTTACTTAGCACCTAGACTGTCAAAAAGAATGTAACGTTTGTTTACCAGACTAAGTATTTGATTTCAGCCTTTAAAAAGGCCAGTGATGGATGCTGACTCAGACTTTACCTCACAAATATGGAAATTCAGGTATGTCAGATGTTGAATAATTTTTACATACAGCCTATTAATAAGTGGTGTATTTTACCTAGTGAGTCTTTCAACATCACATAACAGAAGCAAGATAATCAAGGGGATGCTGGTGGAAAAAGTAATACAGATTGCTTAAGTTGCTGTGGAAGACTATAGTATATAAAAAGTTTTACACCTGCATCTTGTAAAAATTAGGATGGGATCTCTGAAAGAGTACATCAAATTTGATACATAATTGAATAATCTTTCCTCCTATTCATCTGGATTCTGCAGGTGATTTACCAAGATTAGCAGCAGCCCATTTCAACAACAGTGCAAGAAGCAGTGTCTGCGTCTACGTGAACGTCTACGTGAACAGCTGGTCAGCTATTATCTTCTGTGAAAAGGAACACTGTGTAATTCCTTGTTTTAGATAACTTTACACTTGACCAGTTCTCTGCCTTTCTTGTTGAAGCGAGCTGCTTGACTGATTTGTGATAAATAGCTGACAGAAACCCCTCTTACAATGCTTTACTATCAACTCTGCTATGTAAACCTCTTATGAGAAACAACGCAAGTACTTAAGGAGTGCAAAGTGTCATCAGTCTGCTTATCCCTCAGGCTGCAGACACTGGAGGTCACTTCTCATTCTGCCCCGTGTTTTCAGTCCAGGCTGCTCACTCGGGTTCTATGCAGGATGGAAAACACAGAGCCTTCGAGCTATGCAGGGCTGCAACCACCGCTAATTCACGGCCAGGCACGGCAAGCCTTCCTTCGCTGTGCCAGTCTAGGTTAGGCTTTTAATATGTAGCTACAGACATTCAGTCATTTACAGTATTATACCCATGCAGGAAGCAGAAGTGAAATGCGAACTACTGTAACAGCGATTAATTGCCTGCTGCTTCTCCAAAAACGTGACACAAATTCACAGATATTTCAGCAGTGTGACAGCGGCTACATGGGGGTCACTATGCATGTTAAAAGTCATACAGATACCCCAATGCATTTTAACGAGCAGTGCCCGCAATAAGATAGGCCAATTTTGAAATTGTGTGTGGGTTTCAAAACCGCTTCCCAAAACTCACCAAAGCGGACTTCCCCACGCCTCCTGAACCAAGGACCACTAGCTTGTACTCACGCATGGTGTGGTCTGTTCAAATAGCGACGATCTGGAAAGCAGAAAAAAAGCCAACAGTTAAGAGTGTACCTGCACACACAAATTGATGACAGTATCTTCTGAAAGCAGCGGCACGCTCCCCTTCTCCAAACACTCCCGAGAACAAAAACCTCTTTAGCAACAGGTTTGGTTTTTATTTTTCCACCTGGGCACTCAGGTTCAGATGGCCGCTCCGACAGCCTCAGTTTATCTGAGATGCCCAAAGCTGGACCTGTGAGCCCACGTGTGCTCGGAGAGGAAGAAGACGAGGATGAGGATGAATACAAAGACAGCGCAGCCACAGGCGCCCGCTCCCATTGCGCCGGGTAGCACAAGCTCTGGCTGCCTGTCCTCTGCATTCTCGGCATTTTACAGCATAAAACAATGAGTATTGGACAAGAAAGCCAGATCAGAAAGATGCAAGTGGAGCGGTTGACTTCTCGCACCCACCCCCAGCAGGGAAGGCTTTAGGTCAGTATTTTCTCTCCGGAAAAGGTCAGGCCGCACGCACGGCTGCCAAGGCAGAGCCTCCCCGCGCGCCCAAGCGAGGGCTCTGCCTTTTTATGGAAATCTTGCAACTCCCTCAACTCGCTACGCAGCACCAGAAAACTTCTCATTCTCACCGAGATTCCCTGACAAATAAGGCAAATGACAACGCCGGTGATAAACATTTTACACTATGTTTACATTATAAGCCAGGCTGGGCTGTCCCTATCGATGGAGCTCAGGCAAACAATGACCTCAGCAGCTAATTATCTTCCCCCTCTTCCCCCAGCATGATAGCGCGTTCTTCCCAAGTAAGGCTTCAGAAACACGAGCGCTACGAGGCTGAGCAAGCTGTGTTTCCCTACGGCATTTCAAACTAATGCTGCCACAGGATTTATGGCTTCACTGGCTACAGTTTGAGGATTGCTTTAAGAATAAAAACGTATTCCAAATAGTTTGATAGAGAAATGTGTCACCTTGTTGACTACCACTAACAACAGTCTGCAACGAACAGGGATCATATTTTTAGCTTTGCAACTGTGGACAACTCCTCGACAATCTGTGCCTCAAGTTTATATCATAATGAAATTGGGACAGGTTTTTTTTCTATCATTTAAACTCCCAAAGGGAAGCTGTGACACACAGAGTGCAGAGGAAACCCACGTGCTGCCACACAGCCACAGCCAGTCCCCGCCGGAGCTGTGTCGGCACTGGCAGCTGAATTCTTTACTGCAGACATTGCCCAAACATCCCACTTTTAACCCTCACCCCTCAACCACATTTTGACTGTAAAACATACTGTGACACAAGTACAGGTTAAACCAAAATTTAAAAAATCCCGCATGCAGCTGGAGAGAGGCATACAAATTCTGCAGCCAGTTTCACACAACTTTAGGCTCATTTTTAAGTCAGAAGAACCGAAAGAGAGGGCTCTGCAGTCACACAGCCCTTCCCTCGCCCGAGCTGCAGAAGGGGGATAAAGGTGAAGCCAGCAGCAGCCCACACTTTTAAGCACCTTGGGGCGGTTTTTCTTCAGCTCTTGAAGATATGAGCTGCAGTTGCTTAACTTCATAGAAATTGTGAAACTAAGTCAAACTGAAAGGGATTTTCCAGAATGGTAACTCTGAATACCTAAAAGCAGAGCAAGCAATGTCACTGCACTCTCGTACACTGGCATTTTTTGATAAAATTCTGGCAGCTGTAAGCTCTTCTGCTTGAAAATTTCCCCAAGAAGTAACATTAAGTAACATTGACTTCCTTTTTTTTAAAAAAAAAAAATCATGATTTTGGATGGAAGGAGAGGGGAATTCTAATTAGCAATGATTTCCCCCTTGATAATCCTTAGAAATTAAAAGGCGCTGCATTTTTAATAAAGCATAAATGCAATTTATCGATCTGGTTTGTCTTCATCTCCCTACAGTTCCACAGTCTGTTCCACCCAAGAAAACCCAGGAAGCAATCAAGCGAAGGGTTAAATTTAGCTGTGAACTCTTTCACTTCTTATTTATAGTAAAAATACTTGTGGGAAAGTTTCAGCTAGGAGCAGTACAAGACTAACTTCTCATTTCTCCTCTACAGTATTTGCTGATTATTTTTCTTTTCAGGTGCAACAGGAAACCAAGATCCTGAAACGCATGAGCCTTATTACTGTAAACCCCACACGCCTTAATTATCTTGTAGCTCTTTCACAAGTATGTTAATGTTATCTGTTTATACAACATGAATAGAGTGCTCGAGAAATTACTATGCTACATCCTAGCCAACTTTTCATTTGGCAACTGCTTATGCCCACCTAAATACAGTTAGACACAGCAGCATTCATTTCCATCCAGAGCTCTGGGTAGCGGAGTCGCATGCTGTGAAGCAATGGCTACGTTTCAAAATGGAATGAAGTTACGGGCGTTAAGTGTTTCTTTTGAGTCAAGAAAAGAATATGACCACGAAGCAGTGTAAAAAAATAACTTTTAGTGTTGTGATAAATGTTGTGAAACTGTCTCATTAGTTCTGAGCGCTGTGGTGAAAAATAAAGCAAAAGCTGCACGTGTCTCCTTGCTCGTGCTCCCTTTTCCCTTATACACACAGGCACTCAGGGACGGCAGGACAAGTGTGGGGCACAGAGCACATCTCATCTTAACGAGCCCCTCACTGTGCTGAGCAGCAGGTCCCCTCCAACCCACTCTGTCACACTCTCCAACCTGCCCAGCACCTCTACAACCACTTTAAATACAAAGTGATAAATTAGTAAAGTTCAGATTTCATCTATAATAATGAAGAGACTTTGCTTCTACACTGCGAAACGCCTGACGACTCAGGATTCCTCTCTTCTATTCTTTATTCTTTAACAGCATCTCTTTGCTGCTGCTGCTGTCACCAACACTACCTGGGAAGTGACAAAAAGAGACACCCAGCTCCTTCCTGAAGGAAGAGTGAAGGGCCCTACCCCGTGAACTGATGGAGAGGCAAAGAAAAGATGCAGAGTATTTGTTTTAATACACAGAAATGAAAGGCAGTGCAGGCAGGACAGAAGGATCTCTGAGGGACCGGCAGAGGGATGCAAAGGCAGATGAAGCCGTAACCTGAAACGTGGCTCCGAGCGCACCTGCGTGTTCACTCAGCCGAGCACTCACGCACTGCCTTAACCACACGAACCATCTTTCGCCCTGTTGCAACCGAGTGGCTGAATCAGGGCAGAGAGCAGCAAAACTCTCCGGGTATTTCCCAACCAGCGGAAGGAGCCGGGGAGAGGCTGCGGGGAGGGCAGCGTGGGGAGAAGGGCCGAGGCCCTTCAGGAGATAACCCTGATGCAAAAACTAGCTGCTCCTGTGACAAAAGTTTCACCAGCTCATCAAGTTTATTATTTGGGTGGTGGGGAGAGAGAAGCATAAACGGAGACAACACAGCACAGAGAGAGTGGGTGCAAGAACTTCACGCCAACCTGAAACGTGACGTGCGCCCTGTGAAATGCAAATGCCCGAGTACAATCTTATACATCTGAAGACGGCAGTTCGTATTTATTAGTCTCTCCTTCCTGCTCCAAATGCTGAAGGAGCATGGGAGGCGCAGATACGCTGCTCAGCGCGAGGATGACTGGTAAGAGCACGTGACCTGATGGTTTTGCATAACTTGATGAAACGTTGGCCATAACCGATGACACAATCTCCACCAAGTAAGCCGATAACAAAGACTTAAAAAAATAAAAATCAAAGCAGACACATTCTTGACTCAGCCTTAGAAAGAAAGACTGTGGACTGTAATCAGAGATTTTTATTTTGTACAATAGCAGCAGACATCAGGAAAGAGAGAACACAAAACTTCAGGGTTTCTTTTCCTCACTACAGGAAACAAGATGCAGGCAATTTTTTATATTAAATGATGCATTATACATTTATCAGTTCTCAAATTTCCCCAACTACCAATGTTTTCACAGTTAGCAATTTCATTTGAAATATACAGAGAACATTAAAAAACTCATACCTTGGCATAAAAGATCTGTCATCAGTGTTAACAGCCCTACTGAAGGTTTTTCCCTATAACGGACTGGAAAAAAAAAAAAAAAGGAAGAATTAATCGTTTTTCAAATGACAGTGTACGCAAGTGTTAAATCTTCTCTTTACGATTTCAAACCAAAACATGCCTGTTACAAATTTTGCTCTTTGCTTTATCAATGGAGCTCTACATAATTTCTGAACACTTGAATCAAATTACCTTAAAAACAAGAACTCCAGCACAAGTTAACCTCGTGTCCAGGACAGTGAAAGACCGGGGGGTCGGGTGGAGGCCAGTGGCAAAACACAATTTCTACTTGATTACATCATTAAAAAATGCTTTACAAACTGGACTTGCAATTATGGTAAACCATAGGAAGATGACCCAAAATTGAAATTTCTTAGGTTAAAAAGTTAAAATCAAGCTCACAACCATAAAGTTCACGTTTCTGTGTAATACAGGACTGCACTGGCTTTGGGAAGGGTGAAGTAAAACTTGTCCCTGTGCTATGCAGTTCCCGGAGCAGCAGCAGCTCAGCCAGCCAGTCCTTCACGTTCAGTGACGAAGCTCCAGTCTGAGAACAGAGTAACCACGGCTGCCGAGTCTCCCTTTCCAAACCCACAGCACATCCACCGCCCTGCTCGGGGCGGCTGGGCCAGACCCGGCCGAGCTGCGAAGCCAAATCGCTCCGACACTCCGACCCCGGCACGGGCTGTGCAGAACCGCAGCAGCACGGGATGGTGCTCCGGATGGGTCCTCCTCACCTCCCGCCGGCACAGGCAAGGGCTGCTCACCCTGCCGCCTCGTTGGCGTGACATTTCATTTAGGAGTACAGGTTACTTGCTGGTTTGGGGATTTCTTTTTTCCCCCCTTTTTTTTTTTTAAATGAAAATTTCAAGTTCCTGGTTTTAGTTTACCAGATTTGGTAGCACTAATATCCTGTCCGCAGGCATGGAAGGAAAAGATTGCCATCACAGGCAGTACTTCTCTCTCCTTATGCATTGTTTTCAAATTATTATCTAAAAAGCTTGTCTGTTGTTTTCTTTACATCAATTTTTACTGGATTTATGCAAAGTTGCCACTTCTGTCCACAATCCCCTGTACCTGTTATTTGATGACTGCACTTGCAAAAAGTTCACATACATTTCCGAAGTCTCACTTTTTCCCTTTCCTCTGGCAATGCCTTCTACCTCGATACCATCGATTTCTTCCCCAGATATCCCGAGAGCGCTATCGTCTCTCAATTTCTGACCGTTCGTCTTTCAGCTAACCCAAGGGTGGGAATTTTAAACAACAGTTCAATGACCAACTCCTATTGAAAGTCAGCAGGATCCGGGCTCCCACATCCCTTCTCCCAACTTCCTTGGAACTCCCTCCCCGCCACCTGCGCACCTGCAGCACGCCGTGCCCGTGCCGGCGTGGGAAAGCGTTACCCCAAGCACCCGGGGAAATGTGTTTGTGAAGAACAAGCTACAGATAACAGATCAGAAAAGATATTGAAGAAGTGAGTCAGTACTAAACGAGTCAGGAGGCCTCGGCTGGACTGAGAGGCGAGGGGGGAGCAGCGCTGAGTGGGAGCATCTGTCCCTCTGCAGCTCCCACTCGCTGCGGTGAAGCCACCCGGGCAGGCGCTGGTGTTACGCGGCAGCTGAAGCGGGGCTGGGAATGGCACCGAGGGCACCGGCCAGGCTTCCACTGCATGCAGAGCACATGTCCGATAGGTGTGTGGCACAGCCACTTTTTAACAGATTAACAGAGTCCATCCATTCTGACAAACTGGATCAATCAAACCCTCACCCAAAAGCCGGCTGCTACGGATCTCTAAGCGCTTGGGAGCTTCCTGCACTCTCCAGGCTCTTTCCTCCTCTCCCCCAGTTTGCTCTTCCCACAAGAAAAAGATAACGCTCTTAAGCAGCGCCCATCTCTCCTGCAGAAGTCAAATCACCATGTTCCCACTGAACATCTTCTCCCTAATACACTCTACACAAAACTTCACTTTAAAAAGACAAACTGAGGTCAGTCTAAACCTGGTTGAGGTTGTATCAAGTTTGCAATGCATTTTAAGAGATGAAAACGTAGTACTTTCTACTGTCAAGAACACAGGAGAAAAAGCCAGCTGTGTTTAGAGCAGCCCAGCGACCCTGAGTGATCGCCATGGGGAGAAACCACCACTTAACTGCTCACACTCTGCATTGCTGTGGTAAAATCCAGCGACCTCTGCAACACCTACAAAGTAAAATTATTTTCCAGAATTCACCATGTTTCTTTCTTGTAAGAAACACACAGTGCCTGTGCGACCAGGCTGTGCCTCCCCGCGGGGAGGCTGCACCGCACGGCAGTGCCAGGCACTCTCACCGCATGCAGGAAACAGAAGCATCAGGCACTGATGCTATCGGCATCTCTCTGAACCGAATCCGGCATCCTGTCCCGTACCTCTCCAGCCCACGCAGGAGCTCTGCCGTGCCCCAGCCCCCGCTCCTTCCCCCAGCCATCCCGGCGGCCCCACGCCACAGTGGGACAGAGAGGGACAGGCTGTCCTCCCGGCCCTGCCTGGGCATCACAGACAGCACATGTGTGACACTACCTGAGGAGCATCTACAAGCTATGAAAAAAGAAAGGGGCAGAGGGGAGAGAGCGGAGGTGCACCCAGACGGGGGATGCAGCATCTTGTCGGTCCCTGAGCACGGGACAAGTCCCAGCGCCACTGTCCCTCTGCCCCAGCAACCCTGCTGGCTCCTTGTCCACGGGGTTTAAAAGATCATGATGCCTGCAGTGTCACAATCCTCTGTTCGGTAAGGCTGAACTTCAGCAGCAGTGATACTTCAAACAGTAATCGTACCCGTGGCTACCCCCTGCTGCCACCACAGATGAGGGGTCCTCTCTCTGCCTTCAGCCTCTTCCAGGTTCAGCTCCAGCTACACCAAACTACACACACAACAAAACCCTACAGCTGCGTGCGTCTCTGGTTTTGGAGCAGCAGACCAACATCCACAGAGAAGCCTGCTGAGCAAGTGCTGTATTGCAGGAAGCCTCCTATTCTGTTTTTCCCGGTTCCGGCTCCCCCAGCCCTGCCCGGGGTGGAAACTGGTGCCCGCCTGCCCCCATCCTGCGCAGACTCACCCCAACACCGACGGGCAGCCCCCACCTTCCTGTGAGAGCCCAGGCAGGAGCCTCCCGGCCCGCTCGCAGGCTTTGGAGGCCCAAGTAAAGAGGTGGAAGACAAGGTGGTAATTCCCGATCCCACACGCTCGCCCTGCACTGCCAGAGCTCTGGGGACATGGTGACACAGGCCCTTGGAGAGTGTCCCTGGTCCTTCAAGCCCCAGATGAGATGGCCTGGCTTTACGTGGCTACTTGCTCTTCCCAAGAGCATTTCTGAGAGCTTCCAAGGGATAAGAGAAGCAATTGTTTCCCTTTTAATGCTAGAATCATAGGAAGTTTAAATGATAACCTAGTAATTTGGTTTTTTGGAAAATACTTTTTATTTTTTTTAGCAGCTCGCATCCAGCACCCCAGAGCCATGGGCATGTGCCACCTTGGAGCCACAGAAATCAAAATGTTTTAGAAACAGATAATTAAGTTGTCATGATCCTTGTCAAGTGTTTTCCCAAATAGAATAGGAAATGAATCTACACCAAAGCAGCGTTCATTCAGGCAGCTCCTGCTGCACACATGTGCTTGGATCCAGTTTGTACAGCCCTGAAAACAGGGCTTTTTACTGAAAGTGCTGACAGTGTCTCAGGTACAGGACTGAAGACGGATGACAACTCAGCAACACAGACTGCATTTTCACTCGAGAAGCACAAGGCACAGCCCTAGTTTAAAAAAGGGTGAGAGAAAAGGAACAGAAAACAGCGAGGGGCGGAACGCGCACACCAAACCACAAGCGTCAGTTCCTCGAGCCAGCCTGAGACGGCCTCGCTCGGCGCAGCTGCTGCAGCCACCGACACTCACAGCCTCACCCCAGTTTTGCTCTCTCGCTGCTCCCCGGGAAGATGCACCGTGGTGTCCCCGGGACGGAGGGGAAGGGAACAAACACCACTCACCCGCCTTTAGGGAAGAGAAACGAGAATAACCTCCTCCTGAGCGCTGGCTTGCTCATCACCCACACCTCCCTTTTTCTAGAGGTCTGATTTTCACAGTTGGAAACCAAAACATCTAACATTTTCAAGGGGAAAGGTGCTGTCAGCACGTTACAGATCTGGGAGAGAAATGCGCAGACGTGTGCATGAGCTCCGGCCCCTCTGTCCCGGGCTGGCTGTGCCGCCCCGGCGGGCATCGCCTTCCCGGCTCCCCACGAGAGGGGCAGAGCCTCGGGACATTACGGCCACACGGCTCGGCTATTTTTACCCTGCCAGGTAAATACTGAATCATGGCTACTATAAACAAACCTGTTTAATTTTGAACTTGTAAATGTTCCTCATGCCAGTTTTTTAAGTTACTATAAACTAGGCCATGAAAAGGGGTGGATTTTTTTTTTAAAAAACATTGCTCAATGCTCCACCAAAATCCCTTCATTACTCATAGCCGTGTTTGCAAAACAAACTCAAACCCAGCACTTCTGCAAAGGAGAGATTTACGATGATCAAAATCACGCTAAAACTGACAAATCTCCTCTACAGGAAAAAAACCCTGAAACATACAGACAGAATGATCCAGCAGCAAAGGATGGAAATGCGGGACCCGGGCCTTTACCCCGGCTCCACCGAGGACCGGCACTTGCCAAACCGTGGGCTGCAAACTGCCAGCGGCACCGCGCCGGTGTGGCCGCCCAGCTCCGGCACCGCCGAACAACAGCTCCACTCACTCACCGTCTGCTCCCTAATTAGTTATTTGTTATACACCATGTTCTTAGATATTAAATTACTCAATGAAGTTGAAAGCACATTAAATACTTCCCTAATATTAATCAAAGCTGTCAACAATTACGCAATTGTTACACACAAGCTACGGAAACGTGTGGGGAAGAGGGATGGTGGATCCCAAAGGAAAAGGTGTTTGTCTGCAAATTGCACAATTAATTAACAGAGAGCTCCCCTAAA